GAACGTGAGAGACTGTGAGGGGGGGAAGCACCGAACAAACCTCCTGGGGAGCCTGATGCTGCACCTTGACTACACTGACTCCAGCACAAAACCCTGCCGTGCTCGAGGGAAATGCCCGTCCGCCTGAAATGATGCCCCCAAGGCAAGGCCCGGGGACAACGCGAACAGCTGCTGCTGGAGGTTCATCTCCATCAGCCTGAGATGGCCGATGGAAACTGGCATTTGCAATGCACAACTCCAGCTCTTCCAAAGGAGGGTTTTGCCTCCTGTGCCCAAAAAAATTTGGAGCAAGCTTCATCGGAGGAGCCTTGCAGCACTGCCTGGCCCCCTGGGACCTTTCCTTGCATGCAAGAGCCCTGGCTGAGCCCCAGAGCACCTACATCTTGCCCTGTCTTACAGTAGTTTGCTGGCATGGGCCAAGCAACCCCCTGTGCCTTCCTCCAACCGATAACGCAGTGGGTAATATAAATCATGCTTCACATCTTGCCCTGACTTACAGCAGTTTGCTGGAATGGACCAAGCAACCCCCTGTCCAACCGACAACGCAGTGGGTAATATAAATCATGCTTTTTGTTTTTTATTGATAAGTTTAAAATAATAAATTACATGTAGCCCCTTAAAACAAAAAAAAGTCAAGATATTTAAGGGCCAGGTCTGCAGTGACCTTAGCTCAGAGCCTTATACCTGGCCCATGATGCAGAATCTGGTCTAAACCCATTCTCGCGTTGGCGAGAGATGCCCAGGCTCCATGCACCGGGGCTTCCAGAGCCATCTGATGGCTTAAACATCCCTCCTCTGCCACCTCCCTTACTGTGTCAGAATGCCTCAAGACTTTTTTCCCCTTTCTGCCTGCCTTCATGCTGGCAAACAAGCCTCTTAAATGTCATTTTAAAAATCTGCCCCCAGCTCTGCTCCGGAAAGCAAAGCAGCTTGCTCTAGTGGTCAGCCACAGCCTGCAGCTTCAGAACTGCCAAGAGAACTTACTGAGGGGCTGAGACGAGGGACAGGAGTTACCCGCTCCCGTATCACATGGGGCAGGAGATCCTCACTTCAGGTGAGAGCAACCGAGCAAGCCAGCAGCAACCACCACGACGCGGGAGCTGTTCCTTACCTGTCCGGTAGACAAAGTTGCCCTCTGTCTCTGATGACGATGGAGACACCAACTCCTCCTCAAATTCATTGGAACTAAACGAACCAGAGTGATTCCTTTGCCTTGTTTTCTCTATCATAGCGGCGTTAGTAGCCATGACATGTCTCAATGAGTCATTCAGGTAGCGATTCAACAAGCTGCTCTTGTACTTGGGGGGTGACACGTAGTCCTCACTGGCGCTTGGCTCTGGTCTCACTCCTGTTTTTATTACTGAGCTTTCAGTTTTAATCACAGTATGGTGAACCGGTTTGCTATATCCCCCTTCATTCATATGGTTTCTTGGAGGATTTTCTCCATCTGAAAATAAAAGGAGAAAGGTACAGCGATACATCAAATACCTAATACGAGAGCCTTTCTCTATATGTTTTAAATTGCTATAAACAAAACTGAAACCAGACAAATCATTTAGAATGCATCCTTAAACAACATTTTTCACTGTTTTCTGTTTATATGTTCACAGCACTTCCCAGGGCTCTCAGCTATTCCAAATTAAATCACTGCATAAAACAGGCGTTGGGTCTAATTTGCTCATGAGCAACACTAGCTGAGAGAAGAAACCTCAGCAGTACCATAAACCAATGACAAACACTTCCAAATCTGCATGAACAAGCTTAATTCTTACTATCATATTTTCTCAGAAAATATGAACTTAAAATTGGCTACTTCTGCACAATAAGATGTATTTTACTTCTGCACAATAAGATGTATTTAAGCATAATTTCTTAAACTGTACTCTTTTAACTTTCCTGCAAACAATATTTTAAAGGCAAGTGAATATAAAAGAAATGTACAAACTGAAATTGAGACAAGCGAAATTGAGTACAAATTGAAACAAATTCCTTTAAAAATGACATACATATTTCTAGCGATGTTTATAGCATTTGTTCACCTCTCAACACACCTCCTTGTTACAACTGACTGATAGATGTGTTAATACTGATGTTCTATTTATTAAATAGGCTGTTACTTACAAATGTCCTATATTTGTTTACTTTGATCAGACAGAGAATTTCATTGCATCTTTTATGGGAAATGTTTGTTGGTAACACATAAGGTTGCCACAAACTCCATCATATTCTGTTTACCATATAAAAAGTCCCACTGAAGTCAATCAGATTGTCTTGTCAGTGAAATAATATTGATTTAGTCCTTCCATAAAGAAACATCCATAAACCCAGGGAAGGTAATGACCAAGAAGCTTTTAATTTCCCTAAACCAATAAATATGAATATTTTTTTCTTTACTGAAGATCAAAGGAATAAACTTGTAGTATCTAATAAACTATGAAACATCTTTCTAATAATAACACTAAACAGAACAGGCAAATAACACACAACCAGCCTGTCAGCCTTGATTAATTTATACAATGCTATTTTGCAAGGCTGCAAAGTAACTGGGAAATGAAAGTGGCATTTAATTCACAAAGAGGAAAGGCAACTCCCCTGGGAGTGTTTGGGGAGAAATCAGAGCTCTCTTTGGGAATCTGCCTCTTTCTAAACTTATTTTAATCAACTGAAAATCGATAGTAAAAGAACATCAACAAACCTTCAGAGCATGAATCATCACTGCTAACGCTAAGTCTTTCCGCGTTTCCTTGAACATATTTGTTGTACAGTTTTATTCGTAAAGCCCAGCTAAGATCTGGCTGCCTGACCGTATTCTTAAGGCGACGTCTTGCATTGGCAAACCAGTTGGATACCTGCATAAAAACGAATGTATTAGGTTCCCTCAAAAACCAAGCAAACAAACAAATCTAACCATATAATTTGCATGAGTTTGTGTACAGCCTAAAAAAACAGCAAATGACGGAAATAAATTCCTCCTGTGTGGGGCAGCAGGAGTCTGGCAGACCAATACTGATCAGAACTGGACCCAGCCAGGAGTGGGGATTCAGGCTTCCCATCCTTCACGAGTGTTACCAAGTCCTTGTTATTAATAGTAGTGAGTTTTAATTCAGATCTCCCAAAATACTCATGAGTCTTCTTTTTTTTTTTTTTCTTCTTCAAGAAAATTCTGTGGAACTTTCAGTAAGAATTTTCAACATATTAGTAGCAAATTAAAATTAAAAAGTAATGTTAGATAATTTGCCTTTGACATTTATGTAGGCTACGATAAAACGCTGAACAGAAAAGACAAAAAAACTTTTGAATTTGGTTATATAAAAGCCTAAATTCTTCCTTGTGCTTTATCAGTACGCTGAGATTGACAGCTAGTGGGTATCATAAAAGTTCTACTCAGAACATAACATACTTTGAGTCACTGCAGAAACCAGCCATTTGCTCTATGGAACAACAGCTCTTGTGAACGTTTTGTTATGGAAATCTCTAAAAATAGTGAAGATGCATCTTCCTCAAGCTGTGGCTGCTAAGCGAGGGCCTGGCATTGCCTCGAGTTTGACATTGCAAAATGCAGTCATGTTAGTATCCTTTGCATATGAATGGTCACTGCAAAGCCAGGTTCTAGCACAAACATTTTACAGATTTTTATGCATCAAAGAAGCAGAAAGGCACAAGACAAGTCTTGTGTGTCAGCAATGCTAATTAAACTGTTAGTGGGATGCCGTGTACTTTGTATCAAAGTGTACTTAAGGAAGGGCTGGCCTCGGTTTCACTATCACTTACAAAAACATAAAATGGGAATTACAGATAATGACAGAATGACCTAATGGTATCTTTCCTATGAGTAAAACACTAACTCTATCAATATTTATTTTATGATAAACCAGAGCTCCAAAATGGTATTTACTCCTTCGAGGAATAACTGTATGTGACATGACCTCTGCCAAAAGGGCGCCGAGTAGTGTTCCTTGAAAAGCAGAATGCAAAGAGCACCCGGGTCTGGGACTGCCCTGCTCATGTTTCGGGGCTGAGGAAGGACAGTGCAGTCACACCCGGACCTGCATGATCCAACAAATTAATTCACGTTAGCCTGCAAAGCCGGTTAACATACGTTTTATCAATACAATACTATCCTACCTACTAGAAAACCAAACTGGACACCTCGAAGTTGGATGTTGGCCCTAGTTTTGTCATCTGACATTTGCAGCAAAGGTAGCACAGAGGTGTATTGCTAATTATTTTGGATTGATAATCTCTTTTAGGGTGATTATGAGAAAAATAAACAGTATCTGCTTTAGGAAAATCAAAACTTCAGCTCAGAGTCCTACCCAGAACTTAGCAGTGGCGTTTTAAGCCTGTCACTTTGGTTTTATGTAAAACCCAGTTTACATGAAACAGGGCTCCACTGAAAATACAGTGAGCCCTGGATCAGCACTCAAATGCCAAACATATGCCTTTGCAAACCATGTACTGTACTGTGACAGGTTAGGAGACCAGAACTGTAGCTGGCAGAGAAGACCAAGTAATTTTCATTCTCTTCCAAGGCTACTTGTTTATATTCATCGTATTGACACAGCAATCATTATAGTAAACCAGAAAGGATGGATTGGAAGCCATCCACTTTCTAATGCTGTTTAACAAACTCACTCCAGACTGCTCAGCCGAAGCAGCAGTCTCCTGCCTTCTGCACGACTTGGTATAACTTTCAAGTCATATGTGTAATGATAGAGATGGATCAATCCCGGGTCCCATTGAACATTAGAGCAGTTACTGCAGTGTCTAACAAAACTGACAGCTTTCCAACATCTCATGAGAAATATTTCATTATGCTGCACTTCATTATATACCGAAATATTTCATCATTAAAGTGCCATATACAGGAAAGAAAGATAGGGTAGTATTAGTGTGAGTCATGCATAAAAGCAATTAAGTTTAGCAAGAGCAATTTTTGCATGGCACTCTTGGTTTATTTTGGACTCATTCTTCCCATGCCAGCCCTCAGCTTTCTGCATATCAACATGAAAAGATGAGCTATATTTTAAGTCTTATGAGGAGAGAGGAGGAAATAGTAGTATTTGATCATTATGAAATAACCTTAGTCAGCATTTACAAGAGAGACTTTCTTCTAAAGCACAAAGCAGCTGACTCTCACTCCAGAAACTCTTACCCTGAAGGCAGTTAAAACAAGGTTCATTAAAGCTGAATGAAAGTTAGGCCAATGCACATAGCAGGTTTTTTGCATGTATCTGTGGGGCAGCCTTTGGGGGTGTTTTGCTGCTCCTGACAAATCCAGATCCCTAGGAGATCAAGAGGTTCATCACCTCTCCCAGGCTTGGATCCGGGAGCAAAATCCTGATGTGTGGACTACAAAAAGGCTACCAGCTCCCAAATCGTACCATAGAGCATGCTCACCCTGAGCTCTAGACATGGGCTACTACATTACAGGCAGTTCCAGGCTCCTTTAAAGCCAAGGATACTTTTTGTCACTAATTTCAACCCCAAATGCTATCATGTGTATCTATGTGGCCTTTGAAAAGCTCTGTGTCTACTGCTCCAAGTCGGAATCTCTGCAGGTACCCATTTTACCACACTTACTCTGGCTGTTACAGACAGAAACAACCTAAGCTGCCAAAAATCAACTTTTCACTAAAAAGGTTCTAAGCTACACTACTACAACCTCCAAAAATCTTGAAAACATAAACCCAATGATTTACATATAAGACAGTGGGAAAACCTTTGTCTCAGAGGCCTACCAAGAACAAAGCATCTTGAACAAATGCACGATGTTCTTGCAAAGCAGCAATAAAAAAGTCTTTCAGGAATTACAAAATAAAAACAAGAGGAACAGTAACAGGTAGGCTTCCCAGCATTCAGACTTTACAGCAGCTCAGTCATTCCCCTAAAGAGCAAGAAGGATTTATATCAGCATCAAGAAATACTGACCCTCTGGCTTTGCTTCAGAAGAGATTCTTCAAATTTGTTCTAATTTGTTCTGCTTCACTTCTTAAGAGCAGCCAAGGTTTCAGAAGGGGAAGAGAAATCAAGCAGTTCTCCTCCTCCAATAAACCAGATATGCCTGTATGAATCTGAATACTATTAAATCCACAGCAGCACATGACCGGGATATTAATCCTAGTATGGCAAATAGCTTCGATTCAACAATACAGCCATTCATATTTCTTCCTGGAAGGAATATATGGACATTTTTCTTTTTTATTTCAAAAGAATGACTAAAACAAAATTTAAAATAAAATAAATCAAATGCTGCGGTAATAATGCGAATGAAAATGTAGCATATTAATAGCATATTAATGGGACAAATTATTGGATTCTCAATTGGAATCTAATTGGAGTAAAGCATAAAATGGCTTTTCAAACTATATTGCTTTTTTGGTTTCCTGCTTTGGCAGTTTGGGGAGTAGAATACTTTGGACGGTTGGATTGAAAGCTGCAATAACATTTGCCTTGAGGACTCCCAAAGACATTGCTGGACCGCTCAGGAATAAGTCAGCCCAGAATTTGCCCAGTTTTTACTACTAGTTATTAGGAAACAAAATGAATTATGACTGCTGAGAAATCCTACCTCCTTGAAAGAGTTAGACTTCCCTCTCAAAGCCCTGATGGACAAGTACATGAAACAACTCCCGTGTTGTTCCACCATGCCCAGAAACAGAATATTGAGCAAAAATGTTAGTGGAGTAAATTAAAAGTTTAAAAAGCAGAAAACTGGGTGATAGTAAAATTAATGAAAATGAAATAGCAGGAAAAAAAGATGTTCAGATATTGTCCTAATAATAAGACAAAACAAGACTGGATGCTCAACATTTCATCTTATAAGAGGATCAATTGCATCTGTGTCAGGGTCCTGCATGTCATCTCTTTTGGATGGGTGGTACACACTGGAATAGGAGAAAGACAAGCACGTGGAGATGACATATTATAGCCTTATTATCAATATTATGGTGACCAGCATCATATTCCAGAAGCTGCTGAAGATGTGCAGGCAAATAATGGCAAGCTGGTGGGATGGGGAAGGAAGGTGGCCACAGAGCAGAGAGTGTAGCCACAGCCAAAAACATTGCACAAGAAGTCCAGACCTCGCTACCAAAACCTTGGGATACATGGGAGCTACTTGCCATTTGGGGATATTCAGGGTGTTGTACCAGGATTGGCAGTCGAAAGAAAAGACAGAAACCCCCGACTTTTCCTTTTCTAAATGGACTTTTGGTGACAGAAACTCAGAAGGGTTTTTAATGGCATCTTTCGGCTTCCCCTGGGCTGCTGGTGACCAGGCGTCAGCGCCCTGGGGATGCCAGTGACGAGGCAGCAGCTTTCAGCGACGGCAGCCTCGGCAGGGGTAAAAGCTGTGGGAGCAGAGTCACCTCCCGCTGAGGGCAAACACCACGGGAGAGCGCCGGGCGAGGGAAGGGGACCAGGGAACGCGAGACAGCTCTCCAAACGTGAACGCGTGTAATGCAGGGAAAACATCAGGCAGCGGTTCCTGGTTTTTCAACAAAATCTGATGGTGTTTGGTGTTAGTAGATTAGAAAACCAAGCGTAAGAGCGCCTGTTTGATGCTTTTGCAATTTGCCCCCCTGGAACGAGAAGCAAAGCATTCAAACAGATACGAAAGCCCAGTCCTGCCTCTGTGCTTGGTTATACTAGTCTCAGCTCAAAGAAACACCCAAGACCTCAGGGAAGTTTTTCAGATGTACCCAGCGCGGCTGAGATCACAGCCTGGCTCCATCCTTCTGCCTCTCAGAGAACAAGAATTTTGATCTGGATTTCAGTCTCGTTCAGTCTCGGTGTGTGAAAAATAGATGTGAGGTGTGTGTTGTTTTGTCCAGTAATTCCAGGCTCAGGAATTACTGCTGCTGCCAGACATATGTATTTACCTCTTGCACAGATGCTATAGTATTCCTGGATTAAAAGAGCATTGCGCCCAAATGATGGAAGAAACATCTGGGGTTTCTTTTTGATGTGCTTCTGTAAATGAAGATAGATGTGCTGGTTTGCACAACCCTTTCAAATACTACATTTCGTAGAAATATGACTGGTCAGACCCATCTCCAGCATAAATCCACTAGAATCAAGGGAGCCTAATGAAGGATAAATGCAGCCATTTATGATCCTTCTTAATTTTATTCTGCACCTCACTTAAACCATAAAACTCTGTTGGAGTAGTGGCCGTGACTCTCTTGATGTTTTCACAGAAGTCAGCAGAGAATATCCTAACCAGCGCTTAGCAAAGCTGCTGTGAGAAACCCGCTGGAAAAAAATCACCACAGTTTCCCTCGTCTGTTTATTTTGTGGCATTTGTGAAAGAATAAGGGAGGGACTCCTCAATACAACACTAATGTTGAAGTCTCCACACACGTATTTGGGATATATGTCTTCAATCTTACATAAAAATACAGGAATATTCTAAAAGTCGTAGTCCAAAAAGCTGCTCATATTGAATTGTGGCACTGAATGCACAGTTTTTACATCATTGCATTTTTAAAAGTCTGTGCAAACCTTTCACAAATATTTTTAAAAAGCAAGCAAAGCTGTTTTAACTGTATCCTCGAATTACAACCAGCACTTTCTGAGACATTAGTACTACTTTTGTCAATGCTATAGTGTTTTTGCTAGTGCAGTAGTTTCACAATGAGGTATTAAACTGTAAAAGTTTCACATTTTGCCAACACTACTAGAATCGAAGTTCATAACACAACCCTTCTTGAAAGAATACGCAAAATAATAATGGTGAATGGACACCTTGTTTTTCTAACACCTCGTGTTATTTTGATACCTTAATGTCCTTTGTAAAGTGACACATAATGTATTATGTGGAGGACTTAAGTCCCAATCCTGAAAACACATGTAATGTTATGCACCTAGGAGCAACTCTCAGTGAGGAAAATAAAATTATTCACAATGTGTAAATCTTTGCAGCACCCAGAACTGAGATAGCCTCACTCAGCCACTGGTATCATTTAACCATAAAATTCAGCAGAGTGCCAGATGGCAAAGAAAGCAAATAAATAAGATTTATAAACATTGACAGACAACTTCATACCTCTTACTGCTACACAACTACCAGTCATTTCAGTGGAGTTTCACCTGACAGACAAATCAGAGTAATCCCTACAGCTAACTGTCCTGTGCAATGAAAACTGATGCAGAGCTGAGGCGCAGAATCGCTGTATGCTGCGCATCGAGGGTATGGTAACACCAATACCTGCACAACTAGTGTTAGGAATAACAATGATTATTATCAAAACAATGTTCACTTTTTCTATACTATCCTGCTTTCATGGGGGAAATTTGCAGCTCCGTAAAACTTTCTGACCAATTCCTATTTTGTGCCAAAGCCTCCAATAATTGATTTTCTTTTTGTTTGGCTGGAAGATTTTTAAAGACCAAGCAAAAATATAAATACAAAAGTACCGTATTTCTGAATGAGATGAAATGAAAATGCCGCCCTCCCCACAGGGGAGACAGGCAGACGGGGAAGGACACACACACACCCCATTTGCCAGGTGCCCTTCGCGCTTCCCCATCCAGGAGGGCCAGAGGTGGGAATTCCACGCAGGGCTCAGACCCGGCCTCTTTGCTGTGCTGGTGCTCCTGTGTCTCTGCTGTCCCACACATGCAATGGGGACAGCTATGGGCAAGTGTGGCTGCAGCAGGGCCTCCTCCACGGGGCCAAACCCCTGCATGTGGGGCAGCCTCACAATCCCTTAGAGCTGCTTTGGGTGCCGCTGTCCCCATCCCTCCCATGCAGGAAAATCCCAGAGGCAGCCGGGAAGGTCACGAGTGGCCTTACCTGCACCAGGGTCATCTGGGAGCCGAGGGCCAGCAGGATCTTCTCGGTCTTGGTGGGGTAGGGGTTGTCGCGGTGCTTGTAGAGCCACTGCTTGAGCGGGCGCGCCATGTCCTGCAGCGCCTGCCGCTTGTGCCGCACTTTGCCCC